CTGCTTGTTGTTGTTGTTGTTGTTGATGATGCTGTTGTTGTTGTTCTTGTTGCTGCTGCTGCGTTTGGTGTTGCTGTTGCTGTTGCTGTGGTAGTAGTAGTAGTAGTAGTAGCAGCAGTAGTAGTAGTAGTAGTTGTTGTTGTTGGTGGTGGTGCAAAATACCACTAGTCTGAATGCGCGTGGGAGCCCTCGCAGCACTGGCAGTAGTGAGTTTTTATGGTTAGTAGTGAGTGGCGGTATTTCGTAGAACTGGTCGGGAGTGGTTGTAGTATCTCGTAGTTGTTAGTACTGCATGGCTAGAAGCTTGTAGTTGTTGGTGGTAGTAGTTCGTAAAGACAGAAACAGAAGTACAGCAGTTCGTAGTCGTCTTCGTAGTAGCAATAGTCGTAGCAGTAGGTAGGCAAAACAAGTCGGTCGGTGGGTACTGGGCGGGTGGGTAGGTGGGTGGTAGTAGTAGGTTGTCAGTTGTCGCTAGCATGTAGCAGTACCACCAGTAGGAGCAGCAGTCGGCATCAGCAGCAGCAGCAGCAGCAGTAGTAGTAGTCGTCGCGGTAGTAGCAGTCGTCGTCGTCGCAGTCGTCGTACTCGTCGCCGTTAAGTGCATTAGCAACATCAGCAGAGGCGCTGGTGGTGGCTGCAACAGCAGCAGCAGCTGCAGCAGCAGCAGCAGTGGCTACTGCTGTGGTGATGGACACAAATATTACCAAGAATCAAAATCCATGAACAGCAGCAACAGAAACAACGACTACAACAAGAAAAAGGTCACTACGACTCGTTGGGAGTGATGCCCTTCCGAGCCTTTGTTACCTCGATTTGCAGATGCAGCGTCTCATCGTACGCCTGACGCAAGATGACGCAAGCACCATCGAGCTGCGTTGGAGGCGGCTTTAGACTTAGCCTCTTTGTGGGCGCCTTCTTCAGCCCCTCTGTCTGCGCATCAGAAAGCTCTTGTCCCCCGTCCCTTGGCATTTTTTGGCATACGGCTGAACCGAGGGAGAGCCCTCCAGGGTGCGCAACAGGGGGAATGGCAGAACCCTCCCTGGAGCTGAGGTCTGCGCTTGACCATATCAAGCCTCAGCCGGGGGCAAGCGTCACACCGATGGAAAAACAAAGGATCAAGACTCTGAATCGGCGATTGCATAACTACAGAGAACTCGTCGGCAAATTAAGACCTTCTGCTTGCAGTGATGCTACAGATCATTCCTCCGCATATAGGCAGGCCTTAGTTGGACAGCCGACGATTGTGTTGCTGTCGAACTCCGCTCTAAAACCCTCTAAAACTCGGAGGTGCTTGGCGGGGATTCTGTCGATGGCACGTCTTTCTGCATTCAGAATATTCTTTCAGAGACAGCTTCAGCTTCACCATTCCGCATGAGCATTGGCAACTCTCCTCGCATTGCTGCTAAAAGGCGCTGTCCCACTCATGCCGGTTGCATACCTGAAGCACATGCAGCACTTAGACTTAGATTGCAAGACAAGCCAGCCGGCGCTACTCAGCTCTGGCTACGCAAGAGCACCTGCTCTTGTCGCGACTTCACTTATGTCAATGATCAAGGCAGGGCACCGTTGGAAGACTTGTCCACTGAGTTGGCTCAGCTCTTGGATGGATCTTCGCTTTGCCCTGCAGGTTTGTCGCGGGCCATCACACAGTGAATCACATCGCTGCTTCCAGTCACAAAAAAAGATACCGAAAGCCCGAAGATTCCGCGTCTTCATGTTATTTGTGTGAGCCACTGGTGTCTCTTCATTAATGGCAATGTGCTCATCTATTTTCATGCCAAACAGCTCAACGACTTCTGCTTTGCGTTTGCGCCAAAGCACAAAATGGTGTCTGCATGCAGGCATCCGTGCACCACACGCGCATGCATGGGAGTATGTGTGTTGGCTTGCTCTGTTCATAACTACTTCTGTCACTTAGTGTCCCAGCTTCAGTCAACCTTTTGCATCCAGAACTCTCGCAAACTCCGAAAGCTTTGCAGTTACATTGCTGCTGTTGATGAATCTTGGAAGTTGTTGCCGACGCCGCTATTGCCGTCGAGTCGTTGCTGCTGCCGCCGGTGCTGCGGGCACAGTTGGTGCTTTTCTTCTTGCAATCTCGTCCCCCGCCCCCCCTCCATCCGCAACCGACCCTCCAACGTTTTCACTTGATCAGACAGGGTCTGCGTCCGCAAGTCCCTCCCCTCGTTCCGGCCCACCCCTCCCGACTCCCCTCCCGCTGGAGCAGATCAACCCAAGAGGTCACCTGCGATGCGGTTTCACGAGAGCCGTCCAAGTGTGCCCCATCCGGCTTGAGCCAGATGAACTTGCACCTTGCGTGATGCCCCCCGACAAGATTTTCTGGTTTCAGTCGGATCCCGTTCCACCCACTGAAGACCCTGCTCGACGGCCCCAGATCCGAACGAACAACACAGGTCGCATGCTAAGTGGATGCTGTTCGCTTCGCCGGGGTGGGCAGGCAGCAGTGGCATACGCCCATAATAGTTGTTGCAGCGGCAATCATAAGTCAATCATAAGTATCGATTAGCAACTACAAGTGGTGCCGTAGTGGCATAATAACGGCGTAGCCGTAGTTGTCTGTAGGAGCTACTTGCTGCCAAGGTTCTCCGACTCGGGAACCAGTATGGACCTTAGCCACAGGGCAGCAAGCATCAAGTCGACCAAGCCCGCCAGCAAAGCCGTCCAGCGACAAGCTGCCCGTTCGGCACGAGAACTTAGTTTGACCAAGCATATAAGAACCCTTCTAGTAGCCCTTACAGAACTAGGAATCCGTAAAGGAACCCTTGTAATTATGAACCCTTGAAAAAGCATCGGATGCCCGATACTTGCCAGGTGGCATACGCGACACCTTCAGGCCCGTCTCATCCTCGACGACGGCATATCCCTTTAGCCGCGCTTCCCTTCGAATGGCTTCCTTCCGTGCACAAGGTGTGATTGGAAGCTGAAACCGATTAAGTATTACTGTATTTTTATACCTTATATATCAGATGTTGTATGTTATATATTATGCATTGTACAGTATATATTATGTACTTGTTGTTCTTATATACAGGAACCAATCAGCATTGAATCAGCATCCACTGATCTGACCGATCCTGCCTTCTGCAAGCGAGAGATCTCGCGCCCAAACCTCACACCGTGCCCCGCGCAGACCCCCAAAAGCGTGCGCAGAAACGCAAGGGAGAGCCTAACAAAGGGCAACCCCAGCAAAACCTTCTGGATGACCCCCCGTTTTGAACCCAGACTCCGCCAAAAACCCTAAACCCTAAACCAGCTAAAGAGGCTCCACTGTGCCAGAGGAAAGGTCTGTATGGAGCTTGACCATGGCCGTTGCCAAATTTCCCACCACGACGCGCTCCTGCCGCACGCCGGCAGCGCGGAATCGACTGTTGCAACACTCAACCACGGATGCTTCAATGCAAAAGATGGACTAGCCGCCACTTCTGTCGGAACCGAAACTTCTCAGCAACGTACAGCACAATGTAAGTAGACGAATCGGAGGCGTTTCAACGACGCCTAGGACGAAGCCCAGCCGCTCAGCCTGCGACCCGTGCATTCCGCTGACTTCGTAGCCGCAGTTGTCGCAGACTCTGCCCACGCAGGAGCGGAAGACCTCCGCAAAATCGCGGAAAACTGATCTCCGTCCTAAACTAAAGCAGCAAACAAGTGGACCACAAGCAGATCACCAGGTGAGTAGACGATAATTACAGTTGAAGATGCTCTGAAGAGAATCCCGGCTATGCACGAAGAGTGAATGCAATACATATGGAAATATATGTATACCGTATACACACACACCGCGCGCACATACATGCATGTATGTGTGCATGTATGTATGTATGTATGTATGTATGTATGTATGTATGTATGTATATATACACGCGTGCACACACTCACATGCATGTGTGTTTACACATCCATCCATCCATCCATCCATCCATCCATCCATACATACATACTCACCTACCCCCCCTCCACGGGGTGACCATGCATGTAAGTATATATATAGATACATAGATACATACATACATTGCATTACATACATGCATACATACATACATACACACACAGACATAAATATATATATATATATTTATATTTATATTTTTTAATGTGTGTGTGTGTCACTGTATGTGTACTTGTACATATAGATATGTATGTGTTTGTGTGCTCCAGTGCCTACATCCTGGTTGCATGGTGCATGCGCTTGTGTACGCAGTGTCGCCGTTCATGTTCACAGATGCGCAACTTGCATGCATCGCTTGATTGATGAATGCAAGTATCCGGGCATGTATATGCATTACATCATGACATATCACAAATCCATATTATGCCTCTCTGCCCGTGCCTACGCCTTCCTGGATGCGTGCACCACGTGCCTACATGTATGTGTCCATGACAAAGACACTACGGTTTCCTGTATGGGCACGCATACTTGTAAGCACGTACATACATGCATGCATACAGACACGAATGCAAGCATGCATTCAACATGTATGGTGCATGTGTGTGCACTTCTTCATGATGGCTTCCTGTGTATGTTGTAGTGCACAGACAAGCTCTGCGATTTGTCTTCGGAAGTCGGCGGCTTGGTGCCCGGCCTGCCCTGCTCCAGCGGGATAGTCGAACATAGCCTCAGCTTGCAAGAACCTAGCTGATCGCGAGCCCTTCATAGCCTAGTCGGCCCAGTCTCAGAGGCCAGTTGCTAGTACAGCAAGAAGTTTTTGCGATGGTGAAGCCGAGTTATTCAGCAGGTGCCGTTGCTCTACCATTTGCCTCAACACTGGCCGAGCCACATCCACTTCCAAGTCGGCAAGCTGGGCTTCAATCGCCGACTTGATCTCCGTGTCGCTACCTCTGACAAACGGGCTAGGACGTGGTTCGGCTTTGGGGAGCAGGTGGTGCCTTGATCATTGAAAATGTCAACATCGTAGCCATCCTCCTGACAGTCTGACGCATCGATCGTGCATGGATTGAAGGCTGTGCCCACGAGAAGAAGGCTCTTTCTCGAATCTTGAAGAAGCCGTCTTCGATTCCGATACACCGAGACGAATTCCGCATCAAAACAGCCCCCTCCCCTTTTCGAAGTTTCTGGCTTTGCTCCTCACCGAAATCCATGAGACCTGGGCTCTGCAAGACAAAAGGCGGTATATATTGTATACAATACACAATTACAACTATATATAAATATATATATATATAGATATGTATGTATATATATAATTAGATAATCATATATGATTCATGATACATATAATTACATTCCTAGTCCTGATTTCCGCTCTAACGACTGACCCCGCTTGAATTCTGGCCGAGAGTCTGCGGGAAGCTGGCGATTCCTCGGCGACCAACGCGTTTGCAGCGGTGAGGAAGCTAAGCAGCTATGTTATACTGTACTAGACTATATACTAACCTATACTATCTATATCTATATATATAT